CAATTGCTTTTGAGATTAAATCGATTTTAAGTGTTTCGACAATATTTAAGTATTTTAAGGGCAAAAGTCATTTGCTATTCATTTCACAAATTAATAAATCATTGACTTCTCCGCCAAAGAAATTCAGACATTATTTTTAAAAAATTTATTTAGACTCCACACAATAGTTATGTATTGGAGAGATTAGTTTAAATAAAATTAATTAAATGTTGAAAACTGGACAGACAGACACATATAGCACACTTCTCTTTATATGTAATAGTAGTTATTAATGGCATGTAATGCTATACAATATTCATAGCATAAATCAGTGTATTGTCAGGAATTCTTAAAGTATAAAATCTTATACAGTGTGGAGTCTTATAGGTATAATAATTTAAATGTAATAAAATATCATTATATAAACCTCGTTCGCTGTAACTTCATAGTGAATTTATATTTGGCGCTTAGCTTTTGACTACTTTCTAGCTTAATGTCCATTAATTATGGTTAGTATTTAAGTTATCAATTTATTGTTTAAATACAGTGGACCGGGTGAGACTGTATTGTGTTAATACTTAAAGTAAACAAACTTGTGAATATCAATGCTGAAAATTAATTTCTTATCATTGTTGAGTTATATTTATCAATTTGAATCTTAAGGATTAGTAATCCCTCAGCATTGATATTCACAAGTTTGTTTACTTTAAGTATTAACACAATACAGTCTCACCCGGTCCACTGTATTTAAACAATAAATTGATAACTTAAATACTGACCATAATTAATGGACATTAAGCTAGAAAGTAGTCAAAAGCTAAGCGCCAAATATAAATTCACTCTGAAGTTACAGCGAACGAGGTTTATCACTGTATTTAAACAATAAATTGATAACTTAAATACTGACCATAATTAATGGACATTAAACTAGAAAGTAGTCAAAAGCTAAGCGCCAAATATAAATTCACTCTGAAGTTACAGCGAACGAGGTTTACTATATTTTAAAATCTAATTTGCATCTATGAAAGATATTGGTTGAATTAATTTTATATTGTACTTAAAATTTATTGAAAAAATCAGAATTAAATATAACCACTAATTTCAGATGAAAACTAAATTCATTTCAAAGTAATTTATTAAATAATTAATTATTTGCAAAATTATTATTGTACTGTACTATCACTAAAAATATCGGTATTTCAATAACACTGTAATATTTTATTAACAATTACAATACAATATATTATTATCAATAATATTTTTCACAATACTGTATTAATCAACATTTTATTTTGTTAAGATGATCAATTTTAAACGATTAATAACAAGTATAAAAATTAATTACACTTATAAAAGCCCACAAAACCCTTATTTTCATGACATAGTCTTACAGTTCATGTAATTGTATTCAAAAATAGCGCTCAATGTATCAGTGAGTGTGACGTTATCTCAATGCACACTGAGTGCCACCCATAAGCTATAATCACACTTATGCCGACCACACCGGTATGTATGGCTTCATTCATATAAAGAGGGGGATGGTATTCATACAACCTAATGCTTTACCACACTTTACCATAAATGTATGGTGCCATACGATAGCAGACTTGATGTGGTCAGCAATATGGTGTCCATTGATATGGTTTGAAAGTTGTGTTTATCGTATGTCTCGAAAACACCCAAACATTGCATTCAATTCATTGAACGTAAATATGAATGAAATGACAATCAATTCATTGATGACTGCATTGGAAATACAATTAGAGTTCACTTTCCATACAAACATGTGTTGTGTTTAGCTTATTGTCTATTAAATGACATCCAATTCATAACTAAACTAATAATCACCACAAATACGAGACAATTATCATCGCAAACAGTTCCGGAAGAATGCAGTCATCGGACTCATCCCAACCGACACGCCCTCCACGGCTGACACGGGCGTCGAGTAAGGAGTCTTCAGTGAGTAGCAGCTATCAGGTGATCGCCAGATGTCTTAATGACTATGAGATGACCATTTCATGACGTGATGGGCACTAACAGTACTGTCTGACCATTACTTGCAGTCTGTCTTAAAGGGAGGTCTGTTGATGTCAGTGATCCGGTCGTTGACCTCTTCGCGCGACTCCATGGATAGGGACAGAGAGAGGGCTAACTTAGAGCGAGAGTTCAAGGACTGCGACCAAAAGCTGTCGGCGCTCGTCGTACAACACCATACGGACCTCTTTCAGGTGACTGTCCATTGATAGTGACTTTGTTAACACCAATATTAACCACATATGTCTTGCATTTGTACCGTTCAGGTGATGTCCGCGTTCTCCAAGATATCTCAACGTCTGAAGTCCTCGCGCGAGAGGGTTGTCATCACCAGAGATAAGCTGCAGACGTGTCAGAAACTACTGCACTGTAAGCGCGACGAACTCAAGAAGTTATGGCTCGAGTCGGTGGAGAACAAAGTGGTGCTCGAGCTCCTGGATCGGGTCGAGCGTATGACTACTGTCCCACATTCAGTGGACCAATACATACAGCGCAAGCACTACCTGCACGCCACACGACTATTGGTCCAGTCGTTGAAACAATTGGACACCGATTTGGTGTCTGTGGACGCGCTTAAAGAAGTGAAGTCCGATTTGGTGGACAAAAAGGATTCGCTGTACGAGTTGATAGTGGATGAGCTGCACCGGCATTTGTACATTAAGTCTACCACAGACCTCGTCAAGCGTTTCAAACGTCACGGATCTGTGCGACACACGAGTGATAACACACCGGCGCGCAAGATATCAGTGGCGGATATACTGTCCCCCGCCGTACAGATTGGGGTCACATCTAAAAGTGGGTTTTAGATTGAGTTGAGATTAGTTTTTATGTCATTTTACGATAATTTTTTGAATTATCTGCAGAACAAAGGACAGCACAATCCATGCCATCGATGGGCGCCGGAAGTAGTGGTGAAGACAATGTAGAAGAGGACACTAATATTACAGATCCCGAAGAGGACAGTCGACATTTCATTGCGATTTTAATCAAATGTTTAGGACTTTTGAACAAAATTCCTGAAGCGGTCGACGTATGTCTCCAAAACTAATTATTTAATCAATTGTTTAATTCATTTGTGTGTCTAATTCGACAGACAATCAAAGAACGTTGCGATAAGGAGTTGACAAATATAGCCAAACGGACGGGCCGTGAGGTAGCGGCCGATGCGCCCGACGGCTCGGACTGGACGGCCACTGACGGCACTAAAGGGTTGTTCCCAATGGTGTTGAGCGCATCGGCTCTGTTAGGCAACTACGAGACTAAACAGAAAACACCTCACATTCTGCACAACTTTTTGGATCTACTGTTCCAACAATACCGCTCTGTCGTCCATTTACACGATACAGTCGTGTTGTCTAACCTAAGGCTTATGGAATCTACTGGTGTCACCATTCCTAACATATACACAATACCTGACGTGTGGGCTAGAGTGCAGACAATAGTTCAGTATGTGATGGATCTGTATTTGGACGCCAGTGGCACACATACCGGTGTTAAAGCTAATCAGACGATCAGCCAGTCGTCGGTGGTGTCGACGAGCGCCACCCCCGCAGACCTGTCCTCGTATTTCATCAAAAAGAGAGGTCTGACGGCAGCCGTCACTACCATGAAGTCCGTGAAGAAGGCGCCGTTGTTTCGGTTCGACCACTCGTCGCACGCCATCTCATTGAACGCATACTTAGCCGAGCAGAAGGAGGCGCTCAAAGCCGAGGCACAGGGAGGAGCGGGTGGTGACGACCACGCTATGGATTCGATAGACTTCGGACTCAACACCGGCACCGAACGATACGTTGTGTGTCCGCCACAGCCCGAGAATATTGTCGTTATGTTTAATCCGTTGATGAGATTTGTGCGCGAAGTGGAGGACGAGTTGGAACTGGAGGCCGACGCCGGTAATCATTGCCCGCTATATCTGTATCTGATATCGTGTGCGAAGACTTTCTGCAATCAAATATCACACGATTTGGAGCGCACTATGGATTTGGCGAACAAATCGCTGGACGTTTGGAAACTGCAGACCGACGCCGAATGGCTATCGGCTGTAGGGCTGACCCGCCCTGTGCTGCACAGCACAGCGATGATCGATAGGGCGGTGTTTGATCTCAAGAACCTGATGTTTGCTCTGCCCTTATTCGCCGACGACTTCTTAACACTGATATGTCAACTGTTGTCCAATTATAAGGAGGTATGTCTGG